TGGTTCAAGTATTTCATTCGAAACATGCCACCTCATCTATGCTCCACGAGACGTTATTTCAAACACTGCGTCTGCTAGACTAACTTGAGGCTAGATCCCTAGTAGTTCTCATGCTCAAGTCTTTACTACATGGACCACGTCTATGGTAAAACCTACTGTCAGCCAAATAGCTACAGTCTCCGCCGCGTCTATACTGTTTCTATCCCTAATATCAAGTATATCACTTCATATACCCTAGTCTCTTGTGTGCCAACCCACAAATGTTGTGGTACTACTTGCTTTGATTAGGTTTAATGTGGAACACAACTGTTTAACAAACATTTGGTCAAAATATCGACTTGACTTGTCTCTTTGACGAGTTGTAGTATGGTGCTAAGAATGGCAAGATTCACTGACGATGCCGGCGAAACGTCTGGGAATGTACTACGTTCACGGCTTTGTTGGAGATATTGAAGCGAGAAGAGGATATCCTAGAGGCAGAACAGATACGGAAGGAAGCGTTAACAGGACTGATCAACCTGACAGTAAGGACCACATCTTTTAAATTTAATGGCAGTATCTACGAGAAAATTTTTGTACTACCGATGGGATCTCCAATCTCATCTCTTCTGGCAAATGCGCACATAGACAAGTTGGAAATGGAATTCGAGAAGTCACCACTGCAACCAAGAGTGCTTATGTGATACCTGTATGATTACTTTGCACTTTGGTCACATGGTAAGGAAAATCAAAATTAATTGTTCTATTTTATTAACGAACCTGATGAAATAATTAAATTCACAATGGAGATGGAGAAGGATGAACCAATACCCTTTCTGGATATTGAAGTCATGAGCTCCAACGGGACACTCCTGAGGAGACTATACAGAAAGAATTCATATGCAGGAATAATCCTTAATTTTCAGTCTCACAATAACTAGACTGAAGATCGGGATACTGATGAGTTTGATCATCAGAAGCTTACGACTAACTGACAGAGTTCTTGACGAGGAGTTGGACAAACTGACACGGATCTGCCTTAGTAACGGGTACCCCAAAAAATTTATATAAAAAAAGGTATAGGTTATAAAGGGAAGATTTTAACTCGGATTTTATGAAAATCAGATCAAGAATCAAGAGGACCATACGTGGATATACCTGCCATCATCAGAACTGAGCCATCAATTGCGAACGTTACTAAGGTAATGGAATATCAAGGTGATAACAAAGAATAAGAAAACACTTCTCACCAGTCTGCCGACGCAACATGAGAACTGACAAACTTAATTTCTTAGGAGTTTATTGCATCAAATGCGGCAAGTGTGAGCAGAAGTATATCGGTGAAACAGGAAGAAAAATCGGCATACGAATCAAGAAACATCAAAGACTCTGCAGGAACATGGATACGGAAAGATTCGAAATATCGAAACACATTGACCGAACGGAACATGAAATCGACTGGAAATCGACCGAAAGGCTGGTTGCCTATGGTGAAAATACGAGAAAGCGCAAGATCCGAGAGGCCATCGATATAATGAGCGAGAAATCTAATGAACAGGAGACTTGAAGAAGGCAGGATTAGCGAAAACTTTGCACACTGTCTAAACAAATTGGGGGAAGACCAGGCAACAGTAAGATCAGCAAAAGGAAGACGACTAGTTCAAAGTAACATCGTAACGTTTAGGAAAATAAATCGCAGGTGGACCAGAAAGGAACAATCAGAAGCCAAGAGGAAACGTCTTCAGTGAGCCTAATCAAAACAAGTAGAACCACAACATTTGTGGGTTAGCACACAAGACAAGGAAATAGGAAATGATATACTTGGTATTAGGGATAGAAACAGGATAGCGGCGTAGACTCGAGCTAGTTGGTGGACAGTACCAACCTGTTTACCATAGGTGTGGTACATGTAGTAAAGGCTTGACCATGAGAATTACTCGGGCTCTTCAGCTTCAAGTTAGTCTAGCAGCCGCAGAGTGTAGGAAATAACGCCTCATGGAGCACATATGAGTTGGCAGGGGTCGAATGAAATACTTGAATCAGGTTGATAGCAGACGGATCCTACGGGACAAGGAGACTTCGATAGGACCTAGGGAAGAAGGACTGTGTAACAATATCGCAGACTCTGATCAACATTTCTAGCACAAGAGTGAAGGGGGGTAAAAACGCCGGCGTGGAGTGCAGAGGGTATTACTGAAAGCCGCTTAAAAGGGCACACCACACTACATTTAAATAGGCAAGGAAAAAATTGTGATAGTGAAAGCGTGATACGAGGATATAGGATAGGTGAATAGCCCATGAAAGAAGGAGAGATATCAAAACTGTTTAGCACACATTTGATCAAAGGATCGGCTTCATTTGTCTCTGACGATTTGTAGTATTGTGCTAAGAATATCAAGACTCACTGACGATGCCGGCGAAATGTCTGGGAATACACCACGTACACGGTCCGACTTTAGAAATTATCATGCATACAATGGACTCCGGACTAGGTGTGCTCCTCTAAGTCATCCTACCAATATGACCAAGTTGCGAAAACACCTCAATACCACTACCAATGTGATATATAAGAAGCCTCGTTTGCCTCAAAGGCATGGCTGCCCTGCAGCCTACTTGCACCCGTAGAATTGTGACGTATTATTAAGGCGTAAAAAATATATATTTCATTACCCAAATTTGATTCTGGCTAGAGGATACTATCGGGGACCAGGGAATGTAAAAACTCAAGTCCATCCTGTATGAGAATACCTTTTAGGAAGCAAGGCTAAATTAGATTTAATTAATTCGTAAGGCCTACCCATAAGACAAAATTCAACAAAAAGTCGTTCATCCTATAAAACTATAATAACTATAGACCGCATTCAATACTAAAGAATAGTTCCTAAACATATTTATTTATTTGTTTGCATAGATATATATACTACCTGTTGTTGATGAAATAGCTGAAGCAACTGTTGAGAGAGTGCATTATGAGAAATTGTTTGAAGTTGTCCACTGGCAGTAGGCTGCGAAGTCAATTGCTGTTGAAATAATTGTTGTGCATGTAAAGCAGCAAATATATGTTGTAGATGAGCCAAAGTTTGCTGTTGAGGTTGTTGGTTCTGTTGTTGCTGAAAGAGATGTTGCTGTTGCTGAAGCAAGTGTTGTTGTTGTTGTTGTTGTTGCTGTTGTTGTTGTTGCTGTACAGCCGCCTGAGCATGAGCATGCTGAGCCGCAGTAGCCGCAGCAAAGGCCTGTTGCTGTGCTTGCGCAAGAGAGGCTGACGAATTAGTAGCAGGAGTAGCAGAAGTAGGTCTAATGGGTGGGCATGTTGTTACAGGTAATGAAGATGTACCCGCCGCAGGAAGTATACAACATGAGGGATTGAGGGTATTTGAAAAGGAAGGAGACTGAATCGCCTGTTGAGATGATGGCTGAGGCTGTGGCGCTTGC